GGGCAAGAAAGGGACTGTGGTCTGTGGATATTATTACTTGCTAACTAAGGAGGGAGGGTCACAATGAGTGTGGCTGGTAGGTTTAATATTATTTTAATGGTATATTATTATGGTACCCCTAACATTTGAAGATTATTCTTTAGAAACCCCGCTAATTTTTTAGTGCAAATTGACTTTTTTGTTCTTGGCTAAATTTATAATTTAGTAAAAATTAGTCACACCGTTAAAATTGGAGCAAAGTTTATATTATTTGTATAGTATAATAGGTTTGATTTTCATCCATTGTGGGTCACCTTAAATAGCCTCTACCCCCTTCCACTCGCCCAATCAAACCTAAATAGTCGATCTCTCAAACATTAATTTAGTACAAGGGGCAATCGAAGAACATGCAGTATGGTAATTTATCCTTAATTACACCATAATGTATGGTAGTACCTTTATTTTCGTCACCAATATTTGTTTTCTATGTCGCTATGCAAACTGTCATTTCAGCTACCATATAATATTTTATATATATATAGTTTTTTGCTTCTATAAATTGAGATGCAGGGAGGGGATAATAACTATTCTATTGTCTAAACTAATTAGTTTCTTAACTTTCCTAGGAAGGCTATTACTTTGTATGACTTCTGTAAATTAGAGGGGTCTGTTGTGTTTATTTCTGCTATGCTGCTTTGCTTTTTTATCACTTCTCCATTGCTGGTCCTTGCTATTGCTGTAATACTTGATTTGCTTTGTGCCTATTGCTGCATCAATCTTGATCTTAACCTCTCCTTCCTCTGGTGCATTCCAATCATTTTTATAGTTCTTTAGTTGGAAGTGTTAGAATAAATTAAAATAAAAGTTTTAAAAACTACATAACTAATTATTTTGTATTAATTTTTCAGTTTTAAACTTTACTATTGCAATTTAATTCTTGCATGTTTATGTCATTTAATTATAATATTGATATAAACTTAATAGTTTGGAAATTACATACTAATATATTTTAAAGCCTATTATTCAAAAGTAATTAAAACGGTGCCTATAAAACAAGGTGGTGATTTTGGATAGAAGATGTGTAGTTTTACCATTTTTTCTATATATACTCCTCTTCCACTAAGTGTTGCTATTCTTTCTACATATTTCCTTTTGTCTATTATTACATTTGCATATCTACAAATATTTGGTATTAGTTTACTTCGGACAATTTCGATTCGAATAAGGTTCACCCTTTCTTTCCAGTGGACATAACCATTGAGAAGGTGCTGCTGTGAGTGTCTAAGTTTGATCTTGGAGTCGCTGGTGTCTGTCAGTACTCTCCCGCGGGGAGACTCAGCTGTTTTAAGACAGTATACACACGACTCTCGGACTCGCAGACCAGTTATTTCTAATTTATAGTATCTATTTTATTATATTCTAAATTGATTGTTATTTTATATTTATTTACATATTCTTGTTAGTTTATGATCTAAATATTATTTTGTTAAGTAAAATTAGGTGTAATTATGTTAATTTCCCCAACACGAAGGTAGGTATCGACGGTATCTTCCAAATAGCAAATATTCCGTACCCAAACAATGTAACTTAGATAGTTAATTCTTCAATATACACACCCACCTTAGCTTGGTGACAACTTCAATGAATAACAGGCTAATTAGATACGCCATCAAGTTAGTATTTAATTTTGTGTCCTAAGATTTTGGTCAGTTAAAAACTTTGTAGTCGAAACATTTCGGAGTTGCACTATAAACTTCATATGTTTGTGAAAATCAATGAAAATTGTAGGGGATGTTATAAAGGTGGTGTCTCTAGCAAATTAATGGCATTTAAAAAAAAAAAAAAGAGTCGTTATTTCTGTTTAATTGGGTCCTAAAAAGCAAGTAATGTCTTAGCAATTTCTGAAACTTCAAATAAAATATGGATACAAAATATGTAAACCTTTGAATTTTTTTTAAAAATTTTTCAAGAAATAATTCTAGCTCTGTCTGTAGGCAGGAGAGAGAAGTGACTTGAACCAAAAAAGAGTAGAAAAAAGAAAGAAAAAAAATTAATCCATAAAAATACTTTGTACGCTGTTTTTTTAAATTTTGTAAGGAAAAAAGAGAAAAAAAATTAAGTAAACGTCATCAAATAATCAATTCAGAAGTAAAGCATGTTTAATTCAAAAAAATGTTGGAACCTAAAACAATAAAAAAAATAAAAATAAAAACTGTTTATTTTAAGTGAATGTTTTTGTTTTTAGAGTAAATTACATATATAACTCTTGAACTATGATTTTTGTATAAATTAATGTTTCGTTTAGTACGATGGAAAAGTGGGAGGATGGAAAGTTGGAATGATGGAAAATTAGAGGGATAAATAAAACATCATGTTTGGTAAGGAAGGAAAGTAGGAATGATGGAAAAGTAGATGGATTAACTTTTCTTCCAGCTCACCAAAATCAATTCCTCCAAAATCGGAAAGAAAGTGGATGAAAAATTAATTATTTGTGTTGAAATATATCTTATTAGATATATATATTAAAAAAAAATTAAAATAAATTTTAAAAAAATAAAAAAATTTAATTACAATTTTTTTTTTCATCTTAATTAAAGATGAAAATTTTCGACTCATCACGATGACACGACTCAAACTTAATACGAAAATAAACAGGTCAACTCTCAACTCAACACGACATAATTAGTTAAATGAGTTAAGTTAGATTTGACTAATATTCGACACAAATCCGTAATGACTTAACACGAATCTAACACGACATGACTCGATTGTCACTTCTAATTTTAGCCAACACAAAAAAAAAATAGTCATTTTTATTTTTCATCCATCCAACCAAACACAAAGGAAGAAAAATGTATTATTTTTACATCCTTCCTACTAAACGAAACATAATGCTCCGTTTGGTACGATGAAAAAATTGGAGGATGAAAAGTTGGAAGGATGAAAAATTTGAGGGATAAATAAAACATCATGTTTGGTAAGGAAGGACAGTAGGAAGGATGGAAAAGTGGATGAATTAATTTTCCTTCCAATTTACCAAAATCAATCCCTCTAAAATCGGAAGGAAAGTGGATGAAAAATTAATTATTTGTGTTGAGATGTATATTATTTGTTTATATATCTTTTTATATATACATATATTATGTATATATTAATTTCATATAAAAATACAAAGGTAAAATATGTATGTGTATATATATATTAAAAAAAATTTAAAAACTTTAAAATAAAATAAAATTTTAAATTAAAAAAAAATTCATTTTAACTAAGCGTGAAAATTTTTGACTCAACACGATGACACGACTCGAACTCGATACTAAAATAAACAGGTCAACTTGACACGACACAATTAGTTAAATGAGTTAAATTAGATTTGACTAATATTCGATACAAGCCTGTAATGACTCAACACGAATCTTACACGACACGACTCAATTGTCATCACTAATCTTAGCCATCACAAAAAAAAAAAAATTTAATTATTTTTATTTTTCATCCATCCAACTAAATACAAAAGAAGGAAAGTGTATCATTCCTACTTTCTATCCTTGAAAGATATAAAATGTATCCTTCCTACTTTCCATCCTCCCTATCAAACGTAAGTATTTAAACATTTATCAATTGAGTTCCTGAACTCTCTAATTGTATCAATTGAATATTTATGTCCATCTCTGTTAGAATATATTACTCACGTGACTATATAACACAATAATACAAAAGAGTTTAATTGACATAATCAAAGAGTTCAAGAGTCAATTGACACACAAAAAAAAATTAGGGTTAATTACAAATTACACCCTGGAAGATAGTTCGAATCTTAATTTACACCCTCAATGATCAAAAATCTTAATTTGTACCCTCAAAGATAGAAATTTGTATCAATGTGCACCTCCAAAGATCAAAAATCTCAATTTACACCCTCAAAGATAGAAGTTTGTATCAATGTGCACCCCCAAAGATAAAAAATCTTAATTTACACCTCCAAATATAGAAATTTATATCAATATACATCTAAAACTAAATTGATAAATTATACCTAGATCCCCTCATGCTTGTCACTTAATGATTTGGACTCCTTCGCGTTTAGAATATTATTTTCATATCTCATGACTTTTGTGCACGTCTAACATGTAACCTTTTTTCGTTGATGTAAGTTAATATAACCGTTAAAAAATATGATTTTATCCTAATAAAAAAAATATAATTTCATAGTACTCTTTATTTTGTGGGTCCGATATACTCTAAAGTTCAAAATAAAGCTTATCATTTGAATGTCCAAAAGAATGTAGATATTTATATAATATTTTTTATATCCAATGCAATATATCATTCAATGTACAACCCTTTATTTTATTAGACATTCAAATGGTAAACTTAATTTTGAATTTTAAAATATATTGGACCCATAAAATAAAGAGTAATATGAAATTATAATTTTTTATTAGAATAAAATCATATTTTTTAACGATTTTATTAATATATATCAATGAAAAGGGGTTACATGTTACACGTACACAAACGTCATAAGATGTAAGAGTAATATTTTAATTGTGAAGAGGTACAAATGATTAAGTGACCAACATAAGTGATCTAGGTATAATTTATCAATTTAGTTTTAGGTGCACAATGATACAAATTTCTATCTTTGAGGATAAAAATTAAGATTTTTAATCTTTGGAGGTGCATATTGATACAAATTTCTATCTACGAGGGTACAAATTTAAATTTTTGATATTTGAGGGTGTAAATTGAGATTTGAATGATCTTTCAGGGTATAATTTATAATTAACCAAAAAAATTATAGTAACTTATTTGATATAAATATCATAGGATTATATGTGCAATTTATTCCAATTATTTGTGGTTGACAAAGACTCAATTACCATAAAAAAAATTTAGAAATTTAATTAGCATAAAAATCATAATTTAAAGACCATATGTAGTTTACTTTAATTTTTTTTTACCAGCTTGGTGAAAGCGATTTTACGCACACAGTGAGTGAGAGAGAGAGAGGGAGAGAGATGGCGGCAACAAGCGACGAAGCAATGGAGTCGCTGCTTTCCAATTTCAATCAGATATTCGACGTATGTGCATAAACACTCACAGACTCACTCTCATTGATGTTTCTAACTTATGATTTTTCCCGCTTACTTCGAAAATCAAATCAACCTAACTTCAGATTTTCATATATATATATATATAGGGTTATCGGAGTGGAGTCTCCGAGTTCCAATTACTGAAATCAAACCTCAATGCCGAGATGAAAAAGCGAGAGTGTCTCGAATTCAATTTCAACAGCCTCAAATCAGGTGTGGTTTCCCTTGTGGTGACTTTTTTCTTTTTCTTTTTCTTTTGTTTTTTGATTCCCAAGCCTTCTTACTTTGTGGGAGGAGTTTACAATTGGAAGTATTAATTTAATTATTGGACGAGAAAAACTAAAATCGTCTGGTTCAGATGACGGTAATTTTCTCTTTGGCAGTTTTTGGAAATCACTCTCCGTGTTCTCTATTGTATGTAGTTGAATCCAGCGAGTGTAGTTGGTAAGGAGTCTAATGACATTCAAGAGTGCCATTTATTTTAACTTAGTGCCGCTGAAAATGGAAATTTACCAATGTAGAACTCTTTTCAGCATACACTTTATATTTAATAGCACATATTTCATTATATGAATGGTAATCACAGATTACAAATCGGCAGTTAATGACAATCCAGCTACAACATTTCAATGAAGCTTATAGTATGAAACAACATTCTAGAAGAACCCTGTGACAGAGAAAAACTGACAATGCATTAACAAATTCTACGGAATCTGCAGAAACCAACATTTTAGAGATAATTAAAAAATATGAATCCAGTAGAAATTTTTTTTTTTTTTTTTTATATGGGAAACATAACTCTTTTATTGATTTGGAAATAATAGATCAAAGAGTTAAAAGGATGGACAAGATGTCCAACCATGAAAAGAAAAAATAAACTCAAAACAATAAATTTAAGGGCCACATGAGAGCCCTCAAAGTCTTTCCAATCTGCCAATATGCAAAATAGCGGGACGCCCTCAAAGTCCTTAGAAATGGAAGCTCATAAAGATGCCAAGAAATAAATTCGATCACATGTACCCTCCTTCCATTTGGCTCTATCCTCGAATATTCTTGAGTGGGGAAGGGGGGTGCTTCATGTAAATCTTTTTTTTATAAGTTGATTGATGATCCTTTGTATCACACGTATATTCCTTATGTGATGATTTGGAAGGCTAAAGTGCTTAGCAAAGTGCGAGTTTGTGCATGGATCAAGATGCCTATAAAAACAAGATAACAGATAAAGATATTGACTCAACCCAAACGTTCTCCCCAAACTGAATTCTCTCCCCATTCTCCACAATGAATGTAACATTTTGAGAAAATCCTGAAAGTCCCTGAGAAATAAATTTTCATTGAATAATAGGCTATTTGGCAGAAACTTGTAGTTGTAGCCAGTAGCCAAAATAACAAACTTTGCAATTAACAATTATGCCCCAAACCAACCCCCCCCCCCCCCCCCCCCCACAAAAAAAAAGAAAAAGAAAAAGAAAAAAAAGATTGCTAAATGAAAAATTGCATAAAGCTTTTTAACAAAGAAGATTAGACAACATCTATTAAACACCTTTAGTTTTTTATACGGCCAAATCCCTGGTTCCAATTGTAGAACCCTCTCCCTCTCTTTCTCTCATTCATTGACTGCAATCCATTGTATTTGAATTTGAAAAATATTGAGTATAACTTCGGAGGATTAATTTTTGAGCTGGTTAGTTACGGTGATGTGGTCTTATATTGGTAATAAACTGCTGGTGGTGATGTTTGTTTGGTTAGCCTTGAGTGGTACTGCTGAAGTGGAGCAATGGTCGCCAAGTGTTTCTTTCAGTGTGCTGCAGTGGTTTAATATGTTATTGGGAGAATGTTGATGAAGTTGGAGCTTCAAATGATGGTGGAGATGGTTTATGAGGCTGGTGATTACTGATGGCAAATATAGGGGAGGAGAAGCTGCTCCTATGACTTCTAAACCACCACCTGTTCCCCAAGAACAAAAAGTGCTATTATTAGTAAAGAAAATGTTGAGGGAAAAAGAGACCCTTTCTCTACGTCAAAGTAGTTAGATCCCTGGATTTTTTTTGTCCATCAGAACTTGATGCTAATGTTACTCCAATAAAGTGGACTTAGGACTCTCCAAAATACAGATGCGTAAGATCTTCATCCATGAAGAATATTGGCTTTTCCTTTTTATTCCAACGCCGTGTATTAAGGGGGAGACATGAGTTGTCCTCTACTGGTCTCCATTTTATTAAAATGTTTGAATTATTAGTTGAATGAATAGCTGTACAAAATGAGGAGTCACTTCTAGCAAGTAGATTGTAATTCATAAGTTACTTGGAGTAGTGTTTTACCCTCCCTCTCCACTTTCCCTCCCCAATCTAACTGTATATCATCTTCCTATCTAGTGTATTCTTTCAATTTTTGAACCAACATGTCATCCCATTTACTGTCTCGTGAGAAAGGGCAATTTCTAGTCATAATTTTAGTCATTCTTCGCAACCTATCGATTCGATTGCATTGTCTTTAAGTTTTTTGAGCTTTTTCGAGCCTTAGTGGAACACTAGTCATGCCGCTGACACCAAATAAGGTTCAAGCCATTCTTCTTGACTCATGGTTCTGTTTATTTTTCCATCTCAGTGATTTATAACTTCATTTGTTCTTTTTTAACTTAGTTTAGGTTTATGTAATGGTTTGTATTTGAAACCTTAAACCAAGTTTGGTTTCAAATAATTAGGGTCCTTAAGATAGTTCAAGATTTATGAAATAAGGTGTACAAAATTAAATAAAAATTAAATAAGGTATCACTTGCAAGTAATTTGATTAAAATTTAAGGTTACAAAATTAGGGCTCTTTGACATTGAATGACAATTAAGGTTGTGAAATTGGGGTTTTTGAGAGTGAAATTTGGGCAATCATTGGATATCTGATCATGGAGTGATAATATGATTTATGATTTTATTATATGAATTGTTAGAGTGTTGGAAATGTTGAATTGAATGATTATTATCCAGATAAATTTACTGATAGATTGAATTATTGAGATTGTTGCGTTAATGATTTAATAGTTGATTTCTTCTGATTTGTGGATTTTAATTCTAAATTTGATTGAAAATTCAGTATTTTACTGGATGGACATATGGAAAATAACATCAGTTGAATCCTAATATTAAACTCCCCCTCACCCCCCCCAAAAAAAAACAAAAAAAAAAACACACACACACACAAATGTCTGTGCGCTACTTTGTAAACAAATTCCATGTCAGTGTGTCTATGTCGTGTTGTGTCTGTGTCACATATCCATTTTTGTGCTCCTTAGATTTTTGCTTTTCTTAGATGTGGGTAACAATAGTATGAACTCCTGTTAAATTATAGAGCCTTCAAGGAAACACTAACATGGCACCATCAGTATTGGAAGAACATGACACCATTAGTGGGGCCTCTAATATCATGCTAGACTATTTTGTGATGGGTAAGTAACATGATTTGGTAGATGAGACTAGGGTTATGACAAGATGCCTGGACGCTACACGAAGCATCTCAGTGGCCCTAAGACGAGTCAACTTCTTTGAGCTTCTTGCCTTGGGCTTAATGCACTCTAGGTGTGGATTTTTTGATACTTTTTTCAGTCATTGATATATTTTAAGCCATTAATTTGTCGAGTTCTATTGGAAATTCATAACATAGAATTAATGCTGGTCTTCTTCATCCCTTTGTCGTCTTCTCCTCACAACTTATATGCTGTCTGGCTTTGTTTTTGTTTTCTGATTTTGTTTGTAAGAGGACTTAACGTAGTCTATGCTCACAGACGTCTTCTTCTTATTCGATCTATTGAACACTTTGTCCTTTTCTTTTTTGTGTCATTGGTTTTAGTTTTGTTTAAGAAAATTAGCACAATAGTAATATTACATATTTTACATGGTTGTAATAGTTGTACCCCTCTAAGGGTATACACGTCTTTTATGTTTTGTTCGATACTTATTAGTAAAGAGTGAGCATAGGGTGAGATTCTACTTTTTTGCCTCCTCTCACTTGATTCTTTGCCAATTCTCTTTCTTTAAACATAATATGGTTTCAGACCTAGATTTTAGGATTTGCATCCGGTATTAAACTTGGAATTTGCTTGTGAAGTCCTGGTTCTTTTTATTCTTCCTTCCTTTTCTTTTTGTTTTGTCTCCATTCTCTCTCTTTGTTGACAAATAACACCGGATTGTTGGAATCCCCAAAGAGGTTCAACCGCAGATGAACAATATTCATGGAGTGGATGCCAATGAACACTGTGAACATGGTATCGTTGAAACGCAGAGTGCAAATATGGTTATCATTGAAAGTTCTTGGCCATGGTAAACTCGCTCAAATGTCCATCTAGATGTGGTTATCGTTGGTTATGTCGGCAACTGCTTCTGTCGTGGTTGTTAGCTGAATCATTATCGTGTTCTAGGAGTTACTGAGTTTTATTGTTTACTGTTGGTTGTGTCATTGTTGCCTGTCTTCTCCAGAGTTGTTGTGATTGAAGTTGGTTGCTATGGTAATCGCCGTTGGTGGCTGTTGAACTCTAGAGCTACAACTTGAGATATTGTAGGAAGAAGAGGACATCCAGTTTTAACCGGATCACGGTTTGATTCAAGTGATGCGAGTCCATTATCAGTTTATTTTAGATTTAAGCATCACACAAACCTACCCAGCCTTGTTGATCTTGGTCTAGTCTAGAGCCTCTACTGCAGTTGGGTCAGCCCAAGCCCATAGGATCCAATTGATTCAGTCCAAGAAGAAATCAAGGCTCAGTTGACTCAGCCCAGTAACCGGTTGGTGCAGTCCGAGACAAAACCAGTTCAGCTCATTCTGGTTTAGATTAGATTGGTTCAGTTTCGGTTTAGGTTTCTCAACATTAGTTGTAGACCAGTTCATGTCAGGTTCAGTTACTGTTTAGGTTTCTCAGCATTAGCTGTAGCCAGTTCAGGTCCGGTTCTGTGGTTCTTGGCGCTAGTATAGCTTGGTTCCATCCTGCTTAGTGTGTTTGAGTACTTGTTCAGTCATCTGTTGGCTGTTCAACTTCTGTTTTGGCCTTTCATCCCCAGTTCAGCTTGTTGGGGACAATTTTCACACTTTGCAAAATCGGTTCAGGTTCTATTTGGCCCAATTTAGCCCTGATTACGTGGTATTGATTCCATATGTAGTTGAATTGGATTCTAAAATTGACACACTAACTCTTTCACCAAATATTCCACCAAACTTTTCGATTGCCTTCTTCTGTAATGCTCCCATGACTTCAGCCAATGGGAATAATGATGTCTTATGGACTTGATCTGTTGAGGTATTCTTAAAAGGTAATGAACTTTGTAAGCATCTGGAAGCAAACCACAAAAAACTGAGTGTGGATTTGCTAAGTGGAAATAGGAGGATGTGCTGATCATATCATTCACGTTGAATAATATTGAGTCTTGTATTAGTTCTACATTGTTCTATCTGAAAACCACCAAATACGGGTCTTTTGACACATATTTGTATTGGCATTGGTAATATCACTCGTGTTTATGAAGTGTGCAAACTGTTAAAAGAGCTTGTATCCCACATCGAATATTTAAGACCTCCTAGGTTGATTTATATACTTGAGGTGTCACTCCATCCATTGTCAATTGATTTTGGGTTGGATGCTATAACATAAACAATATTTTTGCCTTTAGTAGGTAACTCCAAGTTAAGAAGAGTATTTTTCTAGAGTGTTGGATGTTTTTGAAGAAATGAGAATGTATCAACCAATTGTCATGCGGTGATGTGAGGATTTTGATGTTGTCCATTTTCTTATTGGTTTGAAGCCTCAGTATGATACTACTTGTGCACAAATCTTGGGCTGTCTAGTATTTTCATGTTCTCTTTGATATATTTTCTCGCTTACAACATATTAAAATATAGGCTAATCCTTATACTTTGAGTATTGATTGTGGCTATATTGGTGACCACTTAGCCCAAATTGTCTCCAATAGCAATACTGGCAATTCCTGAGGCGAATGTGGTAGTAGAAGGGGAAATCACAGTGGTTGTGATTCTTGAGGGGGACATAGAGGTCGTGGAGATCACATGTATGTCAATCATGGTTAACATTGTCTCTCCATCAAACTCTGGATTGATTACTCTTTTAAGAGACAATATGCTTAACTTAGAAACTAACAGTCTCTTTTTCCTTTACTAGTATGTATTGCTCTTACATGTTTATTGTCCTAGTCCTTGGGTCATGGACACCGGCGCCTCTAATCACATGGTTGGTTCATCTAGTGTTCTCTATTTATCATTTTGTCATTTTGCATCATATTGCCACTCTTGCTAATGATAACCGGTTTTAGGTGTAGGGACTACTGAAGTTAGTCCTACTATATTTTTATCATATGATTTATTTGTTCCTGAATTTCTTAAAAAATAAAAAAAAACCCCTTTCAGTTTAGTATCTATTAGCAAGACTACTAAATTTCTTTGTTCAACCACTATTTATCCTTGTTGTGTATTTGAGGATCTCGTGATGAAAAGAAAGATTGGTACGGACATGAAGCTAATGGCCTCTATTACTTTTATTTTGAGCCAACCCCTCGAGCATAGCAGTTGTTTTATCTTCATTTCAGTGAATCGTCTTTCCATTTATTGAAGCCTCAAGTTTGCAACCATAGTCATGTCTTGTCTTGTGTCTTGTGAAGCTTCTTAGCTTAGTAAGTTGCATCATTTGTGCTTTCAGTTTAGAGTTAATAATTGTATGTCTAGTCCGTTGAGTTAGTTCGTTTTCATGTTGGGAGGCCATTAAAGAATATTCAATCTAATACGTTTCCTTAGCTTTTGACAATCGTGAATGATTATTCTCGTATGCCTTAATTATTTTTAAGAAAAGCTCGTTTTGATTTTATTAATCTTTGAAACATTTTAGAATGAAATTAAAACTCAAATTGGCTATCGCAATTATATTTCATAGTTTGGCAATGTTGGGAATGTGCCTTTGACCATTTTGATACTTATCTTTGTAAGACGTTATTCATCAAACCTTTTGTGTTCTCGCATTATTTGTATTTCCTCTTTTATTAGGGGGCAAAGTCTGCATTCTATTCTTTTTCCTCAATGTCCTTTATTTTATTTACCCCCAAAATGGTTGGATGTGTTTGTTATGTTCATAGTTTTGGTCTGAGTTATGTTAAACTCGCTTGTTTCTTGGTTATTTTTGCATGCATAAAGGTTATAATTGCTTTACCAATGTTGATGTCATCTTGTGTGAATCTGATCCATATTCTCCTATTGTTACTCCTTTGTATCTTCTTGACTTTGGTCCACCACCATCTCTTCCATTATCATTTGTCATTTGCAGTCCATCGAATCTCCTTCAGTCGTTCCACTACCATATTTTATTGTCCCATTATGTAGGTACTTTTATGTTTGAGGCCAGTTATAGAATTGATCCCTTCGTCTTCCTTGACACCTTCTGAACCAAGCTTGTTGTTTTGGACTCCTTGTCTATTGCTCCTCGTGAAGGTACTCGGTCTTGTGTTACTAACTATTCTATTGATATTTGTTTATTCTGATGTCTTTCCTTTACTTTCTCTTGTTTTATATCTCACTTATATCTATTATTTTTATTTTTAAGACATTTGGCCTGTTTGAAGTTAGCTTATATAGGTAGCTTTTAAGTGTTTTGGAGTAAAATAAGTCAGGTCCGTTTGTACGTTAGCTTTTTTACCAGCTTATGCAACAACTTTTTGGACAAGCTGGGTACGGGCCAGCTTTTTACCAGCTTATGCAGCAAATATTTTACTAGTGATGATTCTGGGAGTATTGCAATGTAGAAAGTTTTCATGCAATATTGATTTCATACTAAAGATTTGGGCAAATTCAAGAACTTTTTGCATATCGAAATTGCTACATCTAAGCAGGGCATTAATTTGTCCGAGAGGAAATATGTATTTGATGTGTTACAACAAGCAGGATTATTAGGTGGCAAATCAATAAACGTGTGGATAACAGTGCACTATTTGAAAATCTTGGTCGGTAATGTTGGTTGGTTGGGAGGCTAAATTATCTCACTATTATTCAACTAGATATTTTATATGTTGTTAGTGTTATGAGTTAGTATATGGGATCTCCCAAAGTACCACATTGGGATGCATTTATGTATATACTTTGATATCTTAAGAGAGCTCTTGAACTTGGGTTATTATATCGAGCTTATGGACATGTTAAAATAGAAAAATGCTAATTGGGCTAGTTATCCCTCATATCGAAGATCAATTACTAGATATTTTACTTTCATAAGAGGTATGTTAGTTATATAGAAAAGCAAGAAACAAAGCATGGTAGCACAATCCAGTGTAGAGGCCGAGTATTGGGTTATGACATACTGCAAGTGAATTAATGTGGTTGCACACTTCCTTTAGGAAATTGGTTTCCCAGCTCCACTGCCTTTACAATTGTTTAGTGATAATCAGATAACCCTTCACACTATTGTCAATTTAATATTTCATGAGAGAACCAAACATATTGAAGTTGTCTCACTTCAATTGAGCAAAGATACTAAGTGGAGACATTGCAGCACTGATTGTAAAATTTGAGTATTAACTTGCAAATATGTTCACCAAAGTGTTGAGTCATAGTTATTTGACAATCATTTGCTCTAAAGCTTGGAGTATATGATATATATACTCCAGCTTGTGCTTGAGGGGGAGTGTTAAGAACATTTCTAGTATATTAATATTACCTATGTTATGTGGCTGTAATATGTGCGGCTCTCTAAGGGTATACGCGCCTTTCATTTTTTCTTGGAGACCTTTTGTAAGTTAAGAGTGAGAAGTAGGTTATGATTCTCCTTCTCTTCTCCTCTCACATAATTCTTTCCCAACTCTTTTTCGCTAAATCTAATGCTGATTTTGTAATCTGTGACATTGTTAGTGTTAAGTTGTATATGACTGTGTTTGATTAGATCTTCGAACTTAATTGCGTATTTTATTTAATTATGTACTTGATTGGAATGGATTATGGAACCGTTTAATTGCTATATTGCTTATGATTGCCTACTCGTAATTGGTTCTATAGGACCTTTAAATCCATGAGTTTGCCGATGGTGGAAAAATTGTCAATGTTCAGATATTTGCTTGGTATCTATATAATATGCACCTCGCTTGATGAATCTCACACCTCTGCTTGTGTCTCAAGTCTAGGCCATGGGAAATCTTAGAAATGACAAATTACATCCCCTTCGGCAGGGTAAAGGATGTGTGCATACTATCACTGAGCTAGGAAACCATTTAATGGGCTTAGCCTTTAGGGATACAGTGGACCTGTGACTCAAGCAAAAGAAATCTTATGAGTTCTGAGTGAGTAATACATGTGGTAAAGCATTGTTTGGATGGCAGTGCCTTTAGTCTTGGCTTCCGTTTGGACATATATTCACAAGCCAGCAAGTTTTATATCTGAACTTAAGTATGCTGTTATTTGCAGAAAACGAGCGACTGGCAAAGATGTCTATTGAATCCCTTAATAAATTGGCTGATAAGGTACATCCTTTTTTATTTCTTTAACTTAAATTCTCTACAATGCTCATTTTTTTGATTTCTTTAATTAAATTCTCTACAATGCCCATTTTGAAGTATGAGCCTCACCAATTTTGTCCCTAAAATTGACATAGTTTGTCAAAATAATTATGAGTTTTGACCATTAGTATATAGAGCAATTACATTGACACCTCGAAGTTTAGTGAAAATACACCCCTTCCCCTGAAATTTAGAGATCCCCTTGAGGTTTAAGGTCAATTTACAGTCAATCTTATTCGATGTTGCGACTGTTGTTTTTTTTTTTTTTAAACACTTGTGACTGTTGGTTGACTAGCAGATTTTTGTTGATTTTAACAAAGCTTTTCCTGAAATAACTGCTGCGCTTGTCTAAATATAAAATATAAGATAATGAAAAATATAAAATTACTTTAATTTTGAAAACTAGAAAAAGAAACTCTCTCTCAACTAGGATCTACCCCATTCCTCTCTCTCTATATCACCCACCCCTTCCCAAAGACACCAAAACCCAAAATTTGTACCTTACCACAGCCTGCTCTCCACCCATGTGTGAATCCATAACCTTATACCCACCAAAACCCACTGGCACACCCTCCGCTCGAACCTATTACCTCAAATTCCACCCCTTGAATACATCATCACCACCCTATTATTACCATCCTCATTATAACAAAGCCTAACTGTGAAACAACTACCATCTCAAAACATATTTCACCCCATCCCAGATATGTCCATCTTCTTGCAACGACCAAATAGCCCGAAAAAGTGAAACGAAAGTCAAACCCATAAATGGTGTTCTTTTGTGTGCTTGTGTGTGAGTGTATATATGTGAGTCGAGAAAGAGATTAAAAATGAATGGGATCTCGATGATGGCTTCGAAGGTGGGGGAAGGAGTCCTCTCATACCTATTAGCCCATCGTGCGATCCTCCCACTGGGGCCCCCTATGCCAAAAGCAAGAGAAACTCCATCCCTCTCTTTCCTTTTTTTGCCCCCATGTCCAGTAGGCGTGGATGGAGGGTGGCTAGGGATGGTTACAGGTTTGTGGGATGGGGGCTGAATTTTTGGGGGTGTGGGGATGCGGGGTAGGATGGTGCTGGGTGCACACACTCACACAAAGACACATTTTTTATTTTGGCTAGTTTGAGGATGTAGGGTAAGATGGTAATATATTGAAATGATATTGCGTAAGGTAGTGAAATGAGCATCACCCGACAAATTCTGACATGATGCTGAGTCAAATTTATGAAACAACATTAGGCAGAGTGTATTTCACAGAGTATTGGGTTTAATTGTATCTGATCTTATTTTACATTGAAATTTTTCCATGACTAACAGCTTGAACATCGCACCAGTTACCAAAGCTTGAAAGAGGAACTGAAGAGAGCAAGTGATGACCTTGTCAGGAAAGAAAATGTAAGCCATTTTATATCAAATGCACCAAGGAGTGTCTTATGGTGTCCGTTTAACAATAATAATTCAAATTTGCAAAAACAGGAATGTAGAAACGCTATTGAATCACTTGAACAAGATCACGCTATGAGGATTAATGAGTTGGAGACTCAGGTCAGGTGAGTTTTAAATGAATATAAACAATTCTGAATAATCTGTGTTTTGTTCTGAGGTTTGAATTTTGTCTTAAACCAGTGATTTATCAAGTCAAAAGGCAGCAAATGAAGCAACCATAAATGAGCTCCATCAAGATTTGGCTACGCATAGGAACCATATAGAGGCTTTAAAGAGCAGGTTGGAACGAATTCATTCTGATGTGGAATCCAGATGTGAGTTTCCAATAAATTGATTTCCTCAACTCCCAGATTCATTTTGTTGTACTGAACTTGTAAAAATTCTGCTGCATATTTTGTGGCAGATCATTATGAGATTCAGGATTTGAAGGACTGTCTCCTAATTGAACAAGAAGAGAAAAATGAGCTAAGCAAGAAGCTTCAGGATTTGGAAAAGGAATGTGAGTGCATAAGCCCTAGATATTAGTAAAACCCTTTTTAAACTTATCATAAGATTTTTTTTTTTACATCAGAGAGCTTCTATATTAGTTTACTGGTTTCTGAACTTCAAAAGTATACCTGGAACCTGGAAACATTTAGCAGCTCATATTTATAGTTACGATGTGACCATTTACGATGCTTTCAATACTTATAATTGGTGCAATTTTTTGAACATGCTGCAGTGCTTATTAGCAGAACAAAGCTGGCTGAGCACCAAAGAGATTTGACATCAAATCGACATGTTGAAACACTCAAGCAGAAGATTATGAAACTTCGGAAGGAGAATGAAGTCCTTAAAGGACAACAACTCGGTTCTAAAAAGGGTTAAAGGGTTTTGAAGTATTATTGGTGTCACTTTGTATGACAATGCAATAGATGCGGTCTCAGTGATCTTGTTGTGCCATTTTGTGCTATAGTACCAGAATTGAAAAGCCCAGCAAGCTACGTATTCTGGAATCTGGGCGGTTATGAAATTCCTCAAAAAGCAGGATTTCTCAAAATTTTCATGAATTGTAAAGTCATTTTGTTGTCAATAGATTTCCTCACAGTTTATTCCTCTTATGGGAGATAGTTGTTAGGTATCCATGACGAGACCATTGGGTCGAATTCTACTCTCATATGGATCATTAACATCTACACGGTGGATGAAATTTTGTACCATATTGGTGTTAATGCATGCCAGTGGCATTCTATATGAAGCCTTGCAATGGTATATTGTTTGTTTGACAGTATATATTTTCTCTAAAACTTTCCTAATCGCATAGTTATCAAAATCCTGATTTTGATTGTAGCATCCTGCAATCTTACGATTTGGTTCAGACAAATCGATGCGAGTCTTTTGAAAAATCCTAATTTATTGAATCTTAATGGATTGTGATTTGATTTCTATAGGATCGATCATAGATGGCGTCTCTATTGCAATTGCAATTGCAATTTTATCCATCTTGTATATTTGTTGGGGGTATGTTTGTACAAGCACTGAAGGAGGCAAGGAGAAAAAGATGATGATCACCACCGATCGCGTCTCTGGGTTCTAGCTTTCCACCGACCAAATTCAGTTCAAATTTTTTGAGCTTTTCAGTTTTGGATTAGTTTATACTTTATAGTGCCTCTGATAAAAACTTTGGTATCATACCGGAATTAATTAGGAGTTGTAAATTTCAATTTGATTTATTTTAAATTAATGATTATGTCATAATAATATAAATAAAAATAATTTATAGGTATCACTCTTTATTAAAAAACAATGGAAGCATAGTATAAAAAGTATCTTTTTGGTGAAGCTTACATTACCGCACTGAAAATAGATTTGAATTTTTGATTTTGGTTTAAATGATATGTAACTATTAATTCAAAAAATAATAAAAATATCGAAATAAAATTTTTAAATGTTATACATTTGAGAAACATTATGGTACCGAAAAATAAAATTTCGGTATCATATTGAAAAGTAAAAAAAATCCCAAAAAAATAGTTTATTTTATCCCAAAAGGTGATAAAATCTACTTAAAAGGTGATAAGAGAACTCAAAAAATAGTAAGTGAACTAAAAAAGTGACTGCATCAAAAATTTAGTAAATTCTAGCCAAAAAATAGTGAGTGGTATAATATCTAATTTTGTTTTTTTTTGTTTTTTGGGTCAGTGATGAAAAATAAAAGTAGAATACCTCAAAATAACAATTTGATAGGACTCCTTTTTGGTACAATTCAATACCCAAACTAGCGTTTTGATTGCTGTTGTGTTTTAACAAAAGAGTAATGATACGCTGACTAAAATTTGGGATTAAATTTAGAGCCCAAATGACATGACAGTTGATTATTTGAAGTTTTTATTGAGACCCAAATGACATGATACCAATCAAAAAAATCTAAGTCAACTGCCATGTCATTTGGACTCCAAATTTAATCCTAAATTTTGGTTAATCTAGAATTATTGTTAACAAAAATAACATTTTTCATTTACAAAATGGTAATCCAGTTCCAGTCCCAAGGCAAGTGGAGTGACACTAAAGATCAAAAGAGAAAATCTTTATGCACAAACAAAGAGACATTCCATCAATCGTACTCCAACCCCCCCCCCCCCCCCCCCCCCAAAAAAAAAAAAAAAAAAAAAAAAGGGATAAGAAAATTTAAAAGCAAAGCAAGCAATACCCCACCCACCTCTGCCGCAATGATGGCCGTCGCAGTTTGAGTGGGCGCATGAAAGATCTACTTGTTTAATTCCCATGCAATATAAAAGTAGACATAATATTCTCTCTCGCTCTGTGACAGCTTTTAAAGATAATGAAGAGAAAAGTGTATGAAGTAGAATCTAGTCCTATCTCTTGATTGAAGTGATGGGTTTTGCTCTAGCAAAGAGAATCCATGTTGGGAGCTTGAAAAGAAGAGCCAGAGAGAGAGAGAGAGAGAATGTGTCAGCTTGATAGGCATGCGTTCTTTTAAACTACAAAAGGGTGTTGTTTCAGAAGACATGAAGGAATTTTAGGTTATTGGGTTCTTTCTTTTGGCATTTTGCCACATTCCCTTCTATTCTCAGGGTTGTGTGTGCCATGTTATCTTTCTCAATCTGTGTTATTTGACGTGTGCAATGTCTGGTTCAAAACACACTCAAATCAATAAAACCTTCTCATTCCTTGTCTACCTGGTTGGAGAGAACGCTTACCCTCAAAAACATGAATGTTAGATACGAAAAGAGCTTTTGTTGATACGATGCTTAATCCAATGATTTTTAACTAAGTAATTTTATACTGAAAAGAGATCAATAAAAGAAGCAAAAGGCGAAGAAAACTTTTGACTGCAATAGTGATTTGTACCCAACACCTTTTCACTCTAAATGCGTTGTGAACTCCAACGCTTTTTTTCCCTAAAGTTATTGCCCTTATGTTATGTAAAAGGAAAGGAAATGATGCCTTCACCAAAATTTGTACCAAGTTTTTTTTAACAAATAATGTGATATATTGATATTCATTAAATAGTTTGTAAAAATTTGTGAAATTTACTGATGATCATGTGATTCATATTGATTTGAGATTTATAATTTGATTTAAATTTTGGTAGATGTAACATTGTTGTATGTAAATTAGATTGTCCTCTTTAGATCACTTGAAAGTTTTTTTCTTCTTTGGGTTTTAGCCTCATATTCTAATTCCATGTAGACCTTATATGATCAAGATTTGATCCAAATTTGAGTTTGATTAGTTAGATATGGTTAACAGTTTTGTTGATTATGCGAACTCGAACCCATTCTATTATAATTTCAACTCATTGATTCCAATTTGAATATATTATTATCAGATGAGATATTCTGATTCATTCTTAATAATTTTTTTATACACACACACACACACACACACTTGTATATTAATGTGAATTGTCAATTGATTAAATTGAGTGTGATAATCAACTTTAATTCAGTTCTTTGGATCGAATTAAATTTTTAATTTTTTAAAAGGATTCTGATACAGATGGTGCCCTTTCCGCTTTAGAGTATTGGGATGGTACCCTTCTCGATTCAAAGTGTTGAAAAAACAATACCAATTTATGATGAGCATAATGAGGATAAATTTTTTATCAATTATAGTAAGTGGGTTCCTTTGTCCATAATATTTGATGAAATAAATAGTAAATTACTTGATTTTAAAATAGATAATTGTCAAATTGGTATCAGAGCAAGTTCAATCCTGATGTGTTTCCTATATTATAGTACGAAGCAATGATGCACATGAATGAAAGACCGACGAGAGAGTGCAACCTAATAGACGTTAATGTGAAATATTTAAAGAGACAAGTGTAACAAATCTAACAGTTACTTGAACGCTCCCATTCTTTAGATCATGCTGAATCTTGTCATGATTTATAACATTAAACATCTTATGAGGAAGAAGATGTATTCTTCGACACTGATTCATCTTCTTTAGCAGTCATGGATGGTTCTCTTCCTAATCTGGAGTGGTGGGGAACTTTATCAATCTATGCTGAGTATGATGAAGATGAAGTTTTGATTATTGAATGAAAATACAACTTTTGGCTTATTCAAAAAAAGTTTTCTTCTTGTTAAACTCTTATCATTTTGGTGAATCTCCGATTGGTGTTGAGTTTGCTATGTATCTCCTCTTCGGTGGATTTCTTAGAGTAGTGAACCTGTCTACTATTCTTGGATTGTTCTTTGTCTTACTCCTACTTCTCCACGTTTCCGTCGTTGAATAAGGTCTTTGAATCCACTTGCTAGATATAGGTGATGTGTTGTAGATGAGTCTGAATTGAAAATCTTCAATTAAATCTTAAAGTAAGTCAATGAATGTGGTTAAATAATCTTCAATCTTCAGACCACTTGATCCAACCATAGACAGACTTGAATGTTTATGGGTGGAATTTGAGAATTTTAGTATTTCAAAGTGTAAATTAGAAATTGGAAGATATTTCGAGGCCTGTCATTTTTTGATTTAATAATAGCATAATTATATTTTGCAATGTAATTATATTCGCCAAAATTTAAAAATAAAACTAATAATGAAAGATATCAAATAGTATATATCAAAGATGATTGGTTTTAGTATTTCAAGGTGTGAATTAGAAACTAGCGATATAAAATTGTATTTATATCTATAACAAATCTATAATATATGCAAATAACAACATCTTTGATAAATTTTTGATTAACTTTAGAAAAATATATAAAACCAACATGATACTATTTTCAAAAAGGCCCTTCAATAAATTGTGTAACATAGCATGAATGTTAGCATGAATATATAATTTTCATGGCCAAGTGGGATAAGTGTTAGCAATTCACTTACCAAAAAAGAAGAAAAGCTGATGATTCTTTCTTGTCAACATTTATCGAACGTTTCACATTGACGAAGTGGATATTAAAATTATAATGCATGAAATGATGGACCAATTATACTATAATAATTTATCCATCATGGATGATAAGTATTGCCAAATTACTTGATAAAACTGTCATATTATTGTAAGAAAGACGAATCAAAAATATTAGACGAATGTAATTTCCACTTACGTAGTAGTGACTATGTAAGAAAGATAAAATTCTTTGACTAGAATATTATTTCATTTACTATTTTCTTTTCATAGCCTAATGTGTGATTTACATCTATCAAACCTAAAAAAGTAATTAACATGAATTGTAGCTCAAAAACTTATTCGATCTACAAATTAGCTGAAAATTAGAAATTTGAAAGGGAAAGTATTGAATTAAAATCTGTCCTAAAATGTTTAAACATCCATAGACATAATCTAATCACCAATAAATAGTAATATCAATTTTGAAATAAAATCTAAACTATTTCATTTTTTATCTTTTTTTTTT